GCGCAGTTCGTCTCCAAGGTGCTACACGATCCCTTTGTGTACTGATTTTCCAGACTAATAACACAGCAATAATGTCTCTGAACTCTCAGTCCTCTTGGTTAATCTCAACTAGAGCAGACTCAGAGAAGCCCTAGGGCTTACCCATGTGTTGACTGACCACTCAACCCTTGATGCACCTTGGCTACTCTGGCTGGGCCTAAGCAAGGAGGATTCAGGCCATGGTCTCTTTCTCCTGCAGGTAATAAGCCCAACCTGGGAATGAAGCCTCTCTCTTTCTGGTTGCCCGCAGATGCCAAAGGGACCATCCGGGAGATTGTCCTTCCCAAAGGCTTGGACCTCGACCGGCCCAAGAGAACACGGACCTCTTTCACCGCCGAACAGCTCTACCGGTTGGAGTTGGAGTTCCAGCGTTGCCAATACGTCGTGGGCCGGGAGAGGACAGAGTTAGCCAGGCAGCTCAACCTCTCGGAGACACAGGTAAGGGAAGGAGATAGGTGAGGAGGAGGAGGAGGAGGAGGAAAACACTCTCCATCCCATCTGGCTGAGCTTTTCTGCAGTGCCCAGGGAGAGGGCTTCCATTTCCTTAGGCTCTCCTAAGCCAAGATCTTCCATTGTGCTTGCATAGTGTAAATCTACGTACGTAGGCTGCATCTACACGACAGCAAGCTGGGCCAATGCTAACAAAATGAATTTCAACACAGAGAAATGTAAGGTACTGCACTTAGGGCAAAAACATTAAATGCATAGATATAAGATGGGGAACACGTGGCTTAAGGAGACTTAGACATATGAAAGGGATCTAGGAGTCTTAGTAGACCACAAGTTGAACATGAGTCAACAGCGTGATGCGGCAGCTAAAAAGGTTAATGCGATTCTAGGCTGCATCAATGGAACTATAGTGTCTAGATCAAGGGAAGCAATAGTGTCCCTCTATTCTGCTTTGGTCAGGCCTCACCTGGAATAATCCCATGTCCAGTTCTGGGTGCCACAATTCAGGAAGGATGTTGACAGGCTGAAGCATTTCCAAAGGAAGGGTGACTAAAATGGTGAAGGGTCTGGAAACCATCAAGTCCTATGAGGAGAGA